ATTCATTTAGTTTAAAGCAGAATGAGCAGCAGCACACACTGTAATGGCAGCTGGATGAATGTTTACAACCATTATGCCCTGTTTGACAGTTGCTTTCTATCTCCATTTGTCATTTATCCCATTTTCTCAGTGTGTGCACAACATACTGCAAACTCCTAGTGTTCTAAGTGACAACAGTCCTCTGTCTCTTTATTCTTCACACATTCTCTCACTAATTATTATCACAGTCAAGCAATCTCTCTCATTCTGCATCAGTTTGCTCACACGACAAGACACTTCTGAGTCTAAGGCTGATGTGCTCTTTTTAACAGCCTGCACATGCATGGATGGAGAGCTGAGCAATAAATCTCTTTTTTCATTAGCGTTTTTAATTAATATCGTGAAATTGTTTGGGAAACAAGTAGAGGATTGTTGTGAGCAAGAGCAATAGTATATCCTGGTTTGTGGTTTTTTAGCTGGAACCAATCTAAAGGTGTGAATGACAGATCAACAGCTCAATAATCCTTGAAATAACAAGAATCATGAGATATAAATAATAGAAAAATAACTGGTTTCAGGTTTTTTGTAGTTAGGCATGATGTTTGTAATAGTGGTGTCTGTGATTATAGCAATGGGAAAAAGATAACAATTTTATACGTAATATTTCTTATCTTGACTTATTTATATTAGTTTGAATGTGATAGACTTTTGTAGCATAATTAAGGGGTGGGAGGGTAATGGATGGGCTTAGAGTTTACATCTTGTAATTTCTTATTAAATTGGAGATTTGTAGAGATTACACACTTATAAAATGTTCTGAGAAATAATTAAGCATCTGGAGAGATACCAACAGTGTTGACTACAATTGTTTTTCTTCCCCAGATAATCTGTCTGCTCTCTCATGTGTTTTAGTGTTTTAGCATTAATTGCGATGCACTCAAATAGTTGAATTTCAACCTTTCAAATCTCGTGCTTTTTTTTTTATTATTTCCTCTCAATTTCTAGAAAATATTTGATACGCAAAATTTTTGTAAGCTAAACTGATCATTTCTACACATGTTACTATCCAGTTTGTAAATAAGCAGAAATGCAATACTGATTTGATAAGAAAAAAAAACCTCTTCAGGGATCAAAAAATGTAAATGTCGAATGCTTTAAATAACGTGCCTTTTATCAGAGGAGAAAATGCTTTAATTTATTTAAATGGCATACCAAAAACTTTAATTGACTGACCATGGAATCTCATCAATAAGTTACTGATGTGGCATTAATATATCTGATTATCACGATCGTTTATTGGAGTAGCATTACACTGCATTTTGACTATATGCAAAACAAGTTTTAGTGGTGATGTAATTGATTAAGAGTAAACACAGAAAACCCATTCCGCCTGTAGCTATCTTAGCTATAGATTATGGACTGGCTGCTTGTGGTAAACGGACTGGACCAACAGCTGTAACTGTAACATCTGTTGAATTTTGTTAAATCCAACTTTTGAAAACTGATTGTTGTTACTAAGATTTTTATTTTTTAACTAGCTTGCTGTTTTAGCTAGTTAACAGATATGATAATACATATGTCATGTAATTAATCAGAAATTCAGTCATTACAAATGGCTAAAGGTTTTAAACTATCATGCATGCTGTGCATTACATACAAACCAGGCACATCAGTGGACTACCAATACAATAAGCATGTTATTCCTGCTCCGGTTCAGGTCTTTATTTTGAATATTTAAAAGACGTATCTTCCCTTTTTTAAAAAGAGTTTCGTTGTTGTTTGATTAGTCTTTGTACACTTTGTAAAGTAAATGTATTGTCTGTTGTGTATTGTCCATGCGTGAGACATACTGATCCTGTCACTGTGTCACAGACTTAACATACAGTAAGCAGACTACCGTCCTAGATGGACAGAAAGTAGGTCTCACCTTAAAAGCTATTCAAACATTGTCACTGAGCTCTATGCATGACCGACACAAATATTATTGAGTGATACTACACATTATTTAATTACACTGTAAATTACCTAATTATCTACCACATACAGTTAATCCAATTTTGACAAACTAAAAGGTCAGTTTGATTCCATTTGGTCTGATGGGTTACAGTATGGTTAGTCTGCTTCACAGCATATGCTTTCATCTTTTTTAGTTTTGGTTTATACAGTAATTGCATGAGCCATGCAGAGTGTCATCATTACTTCACAATTTTGTACATGGATTATTGTTTTTGGCTATTGCTATTGTCTGTTAATATATTGTACATGAACGACCAGAGGTTCACCAACTTTTTTTTAAATGAAAAGGTTACAGGCATGACAAGATAATAAGGGTACGAGGATAAAATATCACGTAAACATGATTATTGCAGTACAAATTGCATAATTGCACAAACACAGATTCACCCTACCTCTTAAGAGGTCTCAACCCACAGGTTTAAAAATACTTGACCTGGCTGAACTGTGAGCTGTCTACTGTGTACAGTATTTATTTGAAATTTTGGACAGTTAGGCTAAACTGATATGCAATGTGAAATATATATTTTTAATAAAATTAGACAATACTGGAAACTGCTGTATTGTGGAATTTGCACAAAATCTGAATGTTCTGTTTTCTAATTCTCAACATTTGCATTCTGCAATTATTAATCACACTGTGTTGTTATTGTTTTTCTTAATTGTATATTTAGAATGACCTGGTTTCTTATGCATGACATATTAACACTAACCCGCTTATGCAGGTTGTTGGCATGAATTTTTTGTCCTCTTCACTATGTAAAGTCTTGTTGAATTTTCAATGCAATAAAAACAGTTTTAAACTTCTGCCTTCATTTCTGCAACTGTAAACTTACATGTGGCATTATGTTTTCAACATCTGGAATAATGTTAGAGTTGTAGCTAAGTTAGTCACTTTAATTCCAAATTAGGGTGACAATAGGGATAAGGTTAGGTTATCTCTGTTCATGAAATTGTCACCTATAAAAAATACTCCCACCGGAAAACTTATGAAAGTAGAACTGCAATTCTGAAATACATGTAGGAATATGTGCTTGTTTAGAATATGGCTAAATGGTTAAAACACAACCAAAAATGTAGCTCTATTATTAAGAGTGATTATTAAGATGAAAGCAAACTAAATGAGGGAAAGTAATATGGTTGGATAAGGAATAAACTGAATAAATGAAAAGAAACACTTGAAGGTCAATACACTTTTTTGTCAACTATTATTTGCCTGCAAAATGAGTGTGACAATAAAGCTGTCAGTTCACCAATCAATCTGTATTCCTAGCCTGACCTATGGCCACAAGCTATAGGTAGTGAAGAGGAGAAATGAGCTTCCTGAGAGGAGCTCCAAGACATAGTGAGGAGTTTAATCATTCAGAAAGGGTTCAGAGTAGAGTTGCTATTCCTCCGCATTGCAAGAAGTCAGTTGAGTTGGTCATTATGCCTCCTTGACACCTAATATGTGTGTTTGGGGCATGTCCAACTGGCAGCAGGCCCTGGGGCAAACACAGGATATGTTAAAGAGAGATTATGTCTCTCAGCAATGCTTTGGTATACTCTCTGAAGAGCTGGAGGGTGGAGGTATTACTGGAGAGTGGGCAAAAACAGATTTTAACATTTCGGGTGCCTGCTCACATCCACCCAGCTCAGTGTCACCTGTGAAACAGAGTTTTAACTTTTTTATGTGCATAGGGTACACTGATATGAATTCCCAACTTTACCAACACAACACTTGCTTTCAAGGTTCCCCTTGCTTCTGATAGGTTCCGGTTAGGAGAAGCTGGGTTATGGGTGTTGTTATTATTATTAATGTGCATGGATTTCTTAAGCTTTTATTGTTATATTGGTATTTGGCTTTCCACTGTCAGAGCTCTCAGAACTCAGAAGCCTGAGAGATGAAACTTGTTTACAAACTTAAATAAGTCCATTTACTTTCTTTGTTCAAGCTATTAAGGCAACGGAATCTGGATGACAGCACCTACACAGACATGCTTTCCATCCTTAGCTTTACTCCATGTTGAGCTATATGGAGTTGACCTACAGCTCATTTATTTCAGCATGATGCTCCAATGCTGTAAACAGCTTGTGCTGTAAGGGAGTTTTTAGTCTTCAAGCAGCCACAAATGTTGGGTGTGGTTGAGGTCAGACAACTTTTGGGTGAACGTCCATGACAGTCAGCAGTTCTTCTGCTTTGTGTAAGAGAGAGCTCTAATGTGTACTTGGCTGATTATCATGCTGCAGTGCAGATCTTTCAACACGAAGATGAAAAGGTGTAGCGTGTTCCTGTCAAGAGCATGCTAAAGCAACAGGAGTTGTTACAACACCAGGAAGAAATGCTGGCCAATCAAAAGCTCACAAACAATAACACACAGCACATTCTGATGTCAAAAAATTTGATAAAGATGCCCACCTTACAAGACAAATCCTCTGTTTTCCTTTTCTGCAAATCTTCACCCTAACAGGGCTTTTCTGAAGGCTCAGTTTGTCCATCTCCATATAGACAAAAGGCCAAAATGCATAGAAAAAGCTACGTTATGTCCCAAGATACACATGTAAGTGTGGACGTAGCCTAAGCCAGATGCCCAAACGATCTCATCTGGTTCCTTTTGATGTGGAGGAGCAGCATTACTGAATGAACAAAATTATCGAGCTCCTCATCCCATCTAAATGCACAAACTACCCTTTTGTTTCCCATAAATCTCTGCTTCAAATAGAAATCAGTACATGGACATCAATGCTTTTTTAGCCATTGTACATACACAATATTTATTACCAATTTGTCTTTATCAATATCATGTTAAATGCCAGCACTCTTTCAAGTAATTTTGTCACATCTACTGAATCATCCCACATCATGCCTCAGCAGTATTTTCTGAAATATTGTATAAAATATTGTATAAAAGCGTTGCTTCTGTCTGTGTGCTCCCGTCTCCTCTTTTATCACATTAAATCTGTCTTTTGCAGGCTGCTTCCTCTTTAAATGCTCATTATATTATTCACCATACCTGTTTTGAGCTAGCTTTGACTCAAACGTCCTTTGGGTGGATCATGCTCTAAACAGAAAGAAAGACCATCGAGCGCGCGCAGCATCCCGACGACAACGCGTGTTCGCGCGCTGCGAGAGAAGGGAAGGAGAGGAGGAGAGAGAGTGAGAGAGGAGATTGGGGGGGACAGAGATAGGGTAGTAAAAATGATGGCGACCGATTCAGTGGAGATAAGAAACCAAACGAGCCCCTGTCCCATCCCTGACAACAGTCTCAGCACTCTGTCCATCAAAATAACGCGGAAAAACCAGGACAGACACTGGAAGTTGCGGTTTATTTATCTGCAGTGCTGTGAGTACCGACACACACCACGACGTTTAGAGTCAAACACCGAACACAGGCTACACAAGTCCGCTCAGAAAATCATGGAAAATGTGCCGCATCCCTGTTTTAGGCGACGTTTGGTTTGTCGCAGCCGAATAAATTTATCATATCAACACATTTGAAGAGCCGAGCCTCCATTCATGTTACAGAGGGGGTGGAGGAGGCGGATAAACGCCCCGAAGGACAGGCACGGGGAGGACGCTGTTTCCACTAGAAAAAATAAAAAATAATTCCTGTTCATAACGCAGTAAACATACATACCTAGCTTTGCAAAACCTTGTGTTTTACAACGCTTTACATTTCACTTCGGCATGCATTTAACAAAGGAAATATATGTTTATATATATATTTACTTACTACTTCAAATTAAATTTGAAGTACTAAGTAGCAAGTTATGTGAGAGAAGTTTCATGGAAATATATGCTATAGAGTCATATTTCTACGCAAGAAAAATGAAGCCACACTCCACACTACAGTGTCTGACAGGATATTTAATATTCCCAACCGGTAAAATTTTGCACTGCAGTGAAAGTTTAGTATTGGTCTACAGGCTGTCACCACTTCCTATCAGTGAAGCAGCAGTGTTGAGTATGTGGGTTGTGACCATTACAAATTGGCCAAATCTTCTCTGCCAATTCCAAGCATTTTATTCTGCTGTGGACTCGTGTTTGGTGTCCTTTATTCAATTAGATGATGAAAGTCTCCAGAAACAACATATACTGACAATTTAACCCATCATTCATTAAACAAACAGGGGCCTCCTTGTGGTGGCCACCTGCTTGGGCCCACACTGCTGTGGGATGGCGTCTCATTAGTCACCCAGCATTTCTCTCAAGTCAGCCAATGTGGTTGATTTGGTCACCCTGGCATGAACAGCACGCCTAGACTGTGGAGATATGGGATTGCCACTGGTTGGAGAATATTATCTCAATATTTCTCTGCATTGAGATGGCCTCCAATGTTGACAAGCTTGTTTTTCCAGTGACCATCAGACTGTAACCACCAAAGCTATTACCCTGTAAATTCAGCAGTCAGTGTTGCCCAGATTAACAAGGTCCACTTCTGGAAGGAATCAGGACGCAGTGATGAGAAGTGGGCTAGTACAACAAGAAGGCATACGTGTCTGGCAGCACATATGAACCAGCTGCTAATGGATGAGATGCAACCAGAATGGTTAACCAAATGCCAGACAGTCCTGATCCCCAAGGATCCCTAGAATGGATTAGTCGCATCCACCTCGTGGTCAATAACCCGCTTCAGCACCACACGTGTCAGGTATCATAGGAGCTAAGATTAACAGGCACATGGCTCATAACATGAGCAGGACACAGAAAGGAATTGGCAGAAACACCAGCTCCTGGTAGATAGAACGCTCGTGTCAAGACTTTAAGAGGAGACTGACCAACCTGTGCGCTCCCTGGATTGAGCAAAAGAAAGCTATGACTCAGTGACTCACACATGAAGGCCTAGAATTATACAAGATTAACAGGACCCTAAGAGCCTTCATCAGGAACAAGATGCTAGCAGGCAGGGCATATATGGAACACCATAACAAAGTAGCTGGCATAGTCTACAGCAGGGGTCCCCAATCCCAGTCCACCAGGGCCGGTGTCCCTGCATGTTTTAGATGTGTCCTTGATCCATCACAGCTGATTTAAATGGATAAATTACCGTCTCAACATGTCTTGAAGTTCTCCAGAGGCCTGGTAATGAACTAATCATGTGATTCAGGTGTGTTGACCCAGGGTGAGATCTAAAACCTGCAGGGACACCGGCCCTCGTGGACTGGGATTGGGGACCCCTGGTCTACAGGAACATCTGTGCGAGTATGGCATGGAGGTCCCGAGGTCAAAATGGGATCTGCCCCCTAGGGTGGTTGCGAATGACCAAACTAAGATCGTGTGGGACGGCTGGACAACTGGTGATGGCAAACCAACCGAACATAGTAGTGGACAAGCAGAGGAAGACAGCCATACTGATAGATTTACTGAGTTGTAGCAACATTGGGAAGAAGGAACATAAGAAGCGCCAGAAATGTAGAGCACAGGTCTAGGAACAGCAAAGATACTGTGTAGAACCCTCAAGCTCCCAGCACTCTGGGGGAGGATAAAGACCACCCGCAGGGCAAGTGGAGAATTTTAAAATCCCCCTTTCACCCAATCTCTACTAGATGATGTGAAGATAGATAGATAGATAGATAGATAGATAGATAGATAGATAGATAGATAGATAGATAGATAGATAGATAGATAGATCTAACTACATTGAATTGAAACAACAAAAATATATGTAATAAACATTACAGGGGAAAAATACATATTTTTGTGTATCCAGGGTAAAATTGCCTACTTCTTCCTGAATTAAGATGACAGAGGCAGACATCTCAGATTTAGTGGTTACATTTGAATTTCAGTTGTATTTGACAATTAAGTTGCTGGTGGTGTACTTATATGCTTATATAAATCCTATTGATACTATGGCAGGTATTATCATTTTGGCAAAACAGGGATTACATTTGAAGGCAAAACTGTGTTTATGAAATTCACAAATTTAAACACAAATGGATAATGTTTTGAGCAAATTTTGCATTTATGTGACCATTTCAAATTGACTGAATCAAAACTCAATATAGGGTATTGTGTGATGTTAGTGAGGGTTCCTTTGCCTTTGTCAGGCTACACAAACTCCATCATTTCCACTGTGTATGTGTTTTTTTTCTTCCTATCCTATATTGGGCAAGATTTTTCTCTTTTATTTGACAGAGACTCACACCAAAAGTCTGAGAGCTGGTAGCCCTGTTGATATTTGATCTTACCCGTACAAATAATTGATGCTGTTTTAAAATTCTTCTACTGAAAGTGGAAAGTTTCTCCTAAAATCAAAATTAGATTTTCTGACATCATGACTGGAAGCCAGTTTGAGTCCAGCAAGCATCATAGACCAGGGAGCTTTGGGAACCCGATGCCTCCCATATGGAAAAGAAATAGTAAAAACTTATATGATTTACTCATGAAAGTCGCCACTTTCTCATTACTTTCATATATTGTTTTAGTAAGTATCCAAAACATACAAGTTTCATTTATATAATTTTTCAAGGCATCTTATATCTGTTTTCACTCTTGTATGCTTTTCATACAAGTTTCACACAAGACAGATACAAACTTTATAAGATTTATATATATCTTTTCCATAATGGCTCCTTTGCAAAAAATATCAAAAATTGACTTTATGTGATGTATGAGACAGCTTGTCGACACCCTAAACATCTGCAATGATATTTTTGAACATATTCATACATTCTGTTTTTTTTTGTTTTTTTTAAAAACAAGGTGTAAATGTCATTTTTGAATTTCTTATTATGTTATTATTAAATTGCATTGAAAACCTTATCACACACAAATTATTATTCGAAGAAGGTCTTTCATATATCTTCAAATATTGTCTTGAGGGAATCTTTAAGGTTAGGTTAAGTCCTAAGTCATCAACGTTCAGAGGTTAGGTTCATGTCCACATCGCGAGACATGTCACGTATTATAAGCTTATTAAAGCCTCCCACCGCTGTACTTTTCTCTAAGCTTTCTCTTTTTGCCAGTGTCACTGTGGCAAAGTTTTTTCCATGCACTTTCTATATAAAGAAAGTTGTTTGTTTGTATTTTGTGAGTAAGAAGTGTCAAACTGTTTGCATGAATAAAGACAGGGGTCAATCAAAAATGAAGCATCCAAATCAAAGTGCTATTTATTAATATTAGGGTCACTTTGTCCAAGTTCCATGTTCCTCTCTTGCGGTTACAGTCTATATCTGTCTAAAATGAGTTATTGAGTTGTTATATTACATGCCTGCCCAGCTGTGAGAACGCAGACAATATGAAAGATTTTCATGACATGTCTGATTACCGTCACCATATGTGCCTCACTCATCTTTGGACGGCATTGAAAGAGTACAGAAGAGGACTGATAAGAGAATCGTAAAAAACGACCAGGCTGATTGAAAATGACAGCCTATTTCTAGTGATGATGGGAGGTCCTTAGAGTCCAAGTGATGGATCTGAATTCGACAGAAAAGTGACCTGCCTCGTCAATACAACCATCAGCTTGTGGTTGGCGAGGCTGGTTGATGGTGTTTATTGTAATTACCCAAAAAGGTTTCATAGCTTTCTGACTACTCTCTGGTAATATGTAGCACAAATGTAAAAGCTTTTATGTGATGGTAAGGCTTCAGGTGTTGCTTTTGAAGTATAGTTTGAGCTACTAAAACTAAACTGGGTTAGGGTTACTGTTGGGTCCATAAATATTTGGACAGCGGCACAGTTTTTTAAATTATGCCTTCGTACACCTTGTATGTGAAACTGTCTGATGAGTTCTGCATTTGGCTGAATCTGAGCAGAGAGTATGGCCTTGTCCACATCACAATTAGTCTTGCTTTCTATATCAGCAGTCACATTATCAATAAACACTAGTGATCTTGTTCCACTGGATCCACTGGCAGCCATGCATAGCCATGTCCATCTCCACCTTCAGATAATGTGGTGTGTTTTTGATCAAGAGCTGTTCTTCCCCTTCTCAATGCGTTTCTCCTCCCATCACTCTTAACTTTGGTTGCAGCTATTCAAAGAATTTCTTTAGGTTCTTGAGTGTAATCACAGTGCTGTAAAACCTCTGTGGTTATATTCATGAGAACGCGCCTTGATTGTAGACTTTGGCATTGACACGTTTACCTCCTTGAGAGTGCTCTTGACTTTGCTAGATGCTGTGAAGGTTTATTTATTTGTTTGTTATTTTTTTAACCAAAGAATAAAATATGCCATCATCAACTTCAATTTTCTTCCTTGGTCTTTCAGGCCTTTTGGTGTTGCTAAGTTGGCCATTGGATTTCTTTTTTTAAGAGTGTCTGTATTGTTGATGTGGCAACAAGTAATCAAATCCAGATCTTTTATGTGCTCAATGTATTCCAGAGGTGAAGGCCTCACCTGAGTCAATTGTCCAGTTGCTTTTGAGTCTTTGAAAATGGAGAATTATGTATACAAATGGCTGTGATTTTGAAAAAGTGAATGCAACACTTTTGTTTAAACCTGTGAGTTAAAGCTGAGATGGTGCATTTCAATCACATGTTTATTGTTTGATTTAAAATCAACTGGTTGTGTACAGAGTCAAAAAAAAGTAATTCAAATACTAAAAGTAGTTCACATAATTATTAAAATTCACATATAAGGTGGGTGTGGCCATATGCTAAATAAATCCTGCTACTGTTCCACTGTTTGAGTTCTTTCCACAGTCCCAGTATTGGTCAGACCTTAGTTTGGACTAACCGTTATGCAGTGAAGAATGAATCTGAGACAGTCTCATTCCCTCATGGTGGTGATGTGTGACAAATCGTATGGCTGAGTGATTTTCTCTGTAGCCAGGTTTGAACACCCCCCTGCTCTAGTAAACGTAGCATTACCCACCCACCAAAATACATACTATGTGGTCCCAAAACAAAACTATTTTTGTGACTAGTGAAAAAGAAGTCCCTAGGAGTCCCCCCCCCCCCCAACACACACACTTTAAGCATGATGAGACAAAATGTAGACTATACCCGCAGGAGAGCTTGGTTGACTACAGTGAGTAGTGACTAAAAGTGGATCAGATGGAGCTTGCACTGCATAAAGGCATAACATTTCATGGTCCTTTACTGTTATTTTCCCTGGTCCTCCCTCCTTATTTGGCCAGCAGAGTTACCCTCTTTCTGTTCTCTCTTCTCATGTGATGTTGCGGCTTCTTGTGTGCACATTAATTTCAAAGAGTGCAAAGGTGTCCTCACCTAAAAACGTCCTTATCCATGTTGCAGATTGTGCAGAGATACCTACATGAAAGTGCAGCAGTATTAATTGCTAATTAATACCAATTGATACTAATATTATTCCCAATAAGCAAAAACTGCGCTTCCCAAACATAAAGATTGCAAACTCCATAACACTGACCAGGACCATTCATTTGAGTTAGTGGTACATTATAATTATGGAAGATGCTAACAGCTTCATTTTGCTGTTTAACATTTTAGTGTACGTTGATATCTGTGATATCTGCTGCTTGATGGAGGCAGTGTGAAGGATCGTTTGGGGTTATTCACTGTAATCCTGAATTTAAATCTCAGAGTGATAGCGGTTACATAGAACGAGTTGTTTATGTGAGCCCGAGTGAGCTCAGAGATGATGTGTGCAGCTCTGAAAAATGTAGTTCCTTCCACAGCTGTGATTACACTGAAAAGGCCGATTGCACAGTGGAGTTACAGTGAAAGCTCTGCTGAGATATCAGGAAGGGTGCTTCAGTTATTTGAATTTGTGCTGCCTGGTTTATTTCTTTGTCTTTTATGCTAGACCATACACTCAATGCGTTCATCTGCTTTTCTATTCAGTATCCGTATGCTTAGGAAATGATAATGTGAGTCAGTGTGATTTGTCAATTTAATTTAGCCTTAAAAATAGCTGTAGAGTGGAAAGGCACTATATATATA